GCAGGAGAATTGCTTGAACCTGGGAGGCGGAGGTTGCAGTAAGCTGAGATTGTGCCACTGCACTCCAGCCTGCCTGGGCAACACAGCGAGACTCCATTAAACAAAAAAAAAAGCCCTGAGAGAGACTCCTTGCTTCGTCCACCTCGCCCTTCCCACCATGTTAGGACACAACAAAAAGACAGCTGCATATATACCAGGAAGCAGGCCCTCACCAGACACCAAATCTGCTAGCACCTTGGCCTCAAACTTTCCAGCCTCTAGACTATGACAAATAAATTTTGCTGTTTATAAGCCACCCAGTCAATGGTATTTTGTTACCGGAACGTGAATAGACTAACACAGCCTGGTTTCCTCTTGCTGCTTTCTAATAGGTTATGAAATCTATTTAAAATTTGTTCTTCGTCTGCTCAAATAATATAGCTACTGAAGTACTAAAAGGACTGCACTCCAAGATAGTTTGATTGTTTGAGACCAGAGATAGTGTTTTCTGTACTCAATCCTGAGATTAGGGCATTGATTCTCTATCAATGTGTCCCAGTTATTGATGGGAAAGTTGAAATTTCAGAGATATGAATGTTGAAAAAAGGTTGAGAATAATGGAATTAGAGAAACCAATGAAAGTAATTATTGATCTAACAGGTTGCTTTAGAAAGCAATGCTGGCAGTTTTTCTTCTGATTCTAAAAGTGACTATAAATGATTTTGTTACATGTGATAATTTTTTGTCCGTTTTTTTTTTTTTGCGGGAGACTGGAGGTTGGTTGGTTGGTTTGTTTGAGACGTAGTCACTGTCTGTTGCCCAGGCTGAAGTGCAGTGGCATGATCTCAGCTCACTGCAGCCTCCCCCTCCTGGGTTCAAGCAATTCTCATGCGTCAGCCTCTCCAGTAGCTGGAACTACAGGTGCATGCCACCATGCCCTGCTAATTTTTGTATTTTTAGTAGAGACGAGGTTTCACCATGTTGGCCACGCTGGTCTTGAACTCCTGACCTCAAGCGATCCACCCACTTCGGCCTCCCAAAGTGCTAGGATTACAGGCATGAGCCACTGTGCCAGACCTGGAATTTTACTGTTACTCAAATCAGTCTCCCTGAGCATTCTGAGATCAGTTTTTAATGACAGCTTGGTGGGTGGGGGAAGCCAATGAGCCAGGAGTGCTGATTGGTTAGGTAGAAGATGAAATCATGGGAAGTTGAAGTTGTCCTCTTGCTCTAAGTCACTTCCCAGGTTGGGGTCACAAGATCAGATGAGCCAGTTTATCAATCTGGGTGGTGCCAGCTGATCCGTCAAGTGTACGGCCTGCAAAATAAGCGCTGATCTTAGGAGCAGTTTAGGGAGGACCAGAATCTTGTAAGCCTCCAAGTGCATGATTACTAAACCATAATTTTTATTTTATTTTACTTTATTTATTTTTCTGAGACAGAGTCTCACTGTGTTGCCCAGTCTGGAGTGCAGTGGCGCAATCTTGGCTCACTGCAACCTCTGCCTCCTGGCTTCAAGTTATTCTCCTGCCTCAGCCTCCCAAGCAGCTCGGACCCACCACACCCGGCTAATTTTTGTATTTTTGTAGAGATGGGGTTTCATCATGTTGCCCAAGCTGGTCTTGAACTTCTGACCTCAAGTAATCCACCTGCCTTGGCCTCCCAAAGTGCTGGGGTTACAGGTGTGAGCCACCATGCCCGGCCATAAACCATAATTTTTAATTTTGTGGCTAATTTGTTAGTCCTACAAGGGCAGTCTAGTCCCCAGGCAAGAAGGAAGTTTGTTTTGCCAAAGGGCTGTTATTGTCTTTGTTTTAAACTATAAATTATAAATTAAGTTCTTTCCAAAGTGAGTTCAGCCTATGCCCAGGAAAGAACAAGGACAGCTTAAAGTTCAGAAGGAAGATGGAGTTGGTTAGGTTAGATCTCTTTCGCTGTCTCAGTCATCATTTTGCAAAGGCAATTTCAATCCTCCCTTTGGGTTTTTAAAACACCTTAATCTTAAGGTGTTGGCTAATGAAAATGGGAAAAGGCCGTCGATCACTCTGGCTCCTTCCTGCTGACAGGGGGCGTAGTGGAGGTAGGTGTTGACCCCGAGGTGAGAGGAGTAGAACCACTTTGCAACTGACATGTGACAATTATTTAATAATGGCCCCAAATATTATAGTACTTCTTAAAAGTTTTCACATTCTGTCATACGATCGTTATGACAACTTGGTAAGGCAGTCTTATTATCTTTATTTTATAAATGATGAAACTGAAGATCAAAGACGATTAAAGTCACCAAAAGTCACATTCCTCTAAGTGGGGAAGGTGGCCCTAGAACTTGGGATTTCAGTATCAAAGGCCTGTATTCTTTCAGCTACCGTTACTGCTTTCTAAGTAAACAACATCTAATCATTTCCTCTTGTTGACAGATTTACCGATTCCTAGATTATGTTTAGAGATTGTGTGTGTATTTGTGTGTGTATTCATGAGCACACACGTGCACACTTACATACTTTACTACAGTTCTTTCTCTTTCTGATTGCACATTTTGGGGCTTTTTTTTTTCTTCTAGTTTTTAAAGATAGTTCCCAGAAAGACCTGCTGAATTTTACTGGCACAATTCCTGTGATGTATCAGGGTAAGTGTGGAAGTTGAAAAAACGTGAGTTTTCTAAAAGACCAGTTCATTTAATAACTTCCATTTGTTTATGCCATAACATTCTTAAAGTATTGTTACAGATATATGACCTATACAGAACCTTACTGGATCTGTTCCAGTCAAGGAAAGCCTATATTAATGTCAACAAGTTCAGTTCAATTCAACAAATACTTATTGTCAACTGTGTGCCCACTGCTCTGGTAGGCTCCAGGGTACAAAGGAAAGCAAGACAGACATAGGCCTGCCCTTGGGGAGAGTTACTTTTTTCTTCTACATCTATATTTTGTTCCCCTCCTTTCCTCTCTATGTGATATAACATTATCTCCATTCCATAGGTGAAACTGAATCTTAGCCTGGTCTGATTTACCTAAGATCACACAGCTAGTGTTAGCCTGAAACTCAGACTCCAATAGGAAAATTTTACAACACAAGAGGTCATGAAAGCTCAAAGAAAGGAACACATTTTAGAGTGACCTAGCAGTTTAAAATAGCTAAGTGTTTGCCCAAAAATAAAGGAAAACAAATCACTGACTTTTCTTATACTTAACTCTTCCCATGTTTCCAGACCTACTTCTCCTGTGTTCAACAAGGACTAACCTTTCAGATAAGAATCACAAGAGATTGCTTATATATAGTATGATTTTAAGAACACCAGTGAATCTTTGTTTCCAAATATTTCTCTGAAGTGGTACCTGAAGTTTCACTATTAGAAATTCACTGTTCTTGCTGGGTGTGGTGGCTCATGCCTGTAATCCCAGCACTTTGGGAGGCCGAGACGGGCGGATCACGAGGTCAGGAGATCGAGACCATCCTGGCTAACACGGTGAAACCCCGTCTCTACTAAAAATACAAAAATTAGGCCTAATGGCACGGCCTGTAATCCCAACTACTCAGAAGGCTGAGGCAGGGGAATCTCTTGAACTCGGGAGGCAGAGGTTGCAGTGAGCCGAGATCATGCCACTGCACTCTAGCCTGGGTGACGGAGTGAGACTCAGTCTCAAAAAAAAAAAAAAAGTTCACGTTCTTTTGAAATGCAAATAATCCCAGAAAGAATAACATCTATAATCACTAATATACAGTTATGTGCTTAAAGGAAATTTTTGGTATTTGTTGAATAGTTGAGTTAGTTTGATTATTGACTGAAGGGCTTAGGAATAAGTGGCTTACTGGGGCATTAAAGATACACTGAAAGGGGGGCTGAGAAAGATTTGGAAACCAAATAGGGAGACAGCAGCATAACTTCGCTCTCCTAAAAAGAGTTCAGCATTGTACAATGAAAATACATTGCCCAAAAGACCCTAGGAAGCTGCATTTGGGGGGACTTCTTTCAAAGTAGGTGCTTCTTTGTGAGCTCCTGGATTATCACAAACCCCCTTAATTCCCCACTCCCCACCCCCAGTGATGACTTGTTGCTAGAGATGCACTCATGTTTTGTTCTGTGTCTGTGTATGTCCCACCATGATACCTCCTTTTGCAATAATAGGCACTCAGGAAATACGTAGGAATTCATTTTGTTTTTATGCATAGGAGAATGGATGGAGATGAATGCAGCTAGCCATGGGATCCATGCAGAGATTGCAGAGTGAGGTAGGCAGAACAGGCATAGAGTTGATTTTTCTTTTCTTTCCTTGCTTTTCCCTGCCAAGCTTTCAGACTGTTTCCTGGCTGCATAGAGAATTTTACTCAGACCTGTTCCCCTTAAGTTGTATTCTGAATTTATCTTGGTTAGATGTTGAAAAGAAAGGAAAGGGAAGGGTATTAGGGAAAGGAGGAAGGGAGAGGAAGAAGGAAGGAAACTGATGAAGGTGATTCATTCTGAGAGATAAAGATCAACTCTTAACCCACCCCAGTGTTTTCAAGGGTAGTTGCATATTAACAGAGGAGCTTGTGAATTTAAATGAACTACTGCTTAGTAGCATTTCAGTTTCTAATACAGAGTAGGGAGGTAACATGAGGGAAGAAAGGTTATCTGAATACCATAAAATCCTGCTCATTGGCACTATGCCTGTCCTGCAGTCATTGAGTTATGTCATTGATTCTTATGCTGGGGTCTTCCTCAGGTGCACCCCCCACCTTTTTTTTTCTGCATTATACTTTTCGTTTGCTTTGGAATTGTATCAACTCAATGTGAATGCACGCTAGTTATTTCCTGCTGATCAGAAGGTCAGAATGTATATTATCTTTCTCGTCTGTAAAATGGGCCAATACTAGAGCCCACCTCAGAATTATAAGGCTTAAATGAATTACAGTAAGTAAACACTCTTGGCATAGTGCCTGGCATATAGTAAATGCTCAGTAAATGTGGCCATTATTATTTGTCTGCCTTTATGTTTTTTGGTTTTTTTTTTTTTTTTGAAATGGAGTTTCACTCTTGTTGCCTAGGCTGGAGTGCAATGGCGTGATCTCGGCTCACTGCAACCTCCTGGGTTCAAGCTATTCTCCTGCCTCAGTCTCCTGAGTAGCTGGGATTACAGGTATGCACCACCATGCCCAGCTAATTTTGTATTTTTAGTAGAGACGGGGTTTCTCCATGTTGGTCAGGCTGGTCTTGAACTCCCAGCCTCTGGTGATCTGCCCACCTCTGCCTCCCAAAGTACTGGGATTACAGGTGTAAGCCACTGTGCCCGGCCTTGTCTGCCTCTATTACTCTCTTTTAGTTAACTAGTTTTATTAGTGCAATGATTATACATGCTTATGCTAAAAAAAATTTAAACATTTGGGAAGGGATGAAGTAAAGCCTGTATCTAACCTCCCATCTACATGAAACTTCTGTTAATATTACCTTATATTTATCTCTAGAAATTTTTGGTATTATTTCTTATACAGCCAACATTGTGTTAAGACATAATTGGCCGGGCGCGGTGGCTCACGCCTGTAATCCCAGCACTTTGGGAGGCTGAGGTGGGCGGATTACAAGATCAGGAGTTCAAGACTAGCCTGGCCAAGATGGTGAAACCCCGTCTCTACTAAAAATACAAAATATTAGCTGGGTGTGATGGCGGGTGCCTGTAATCTCAGCTACTTGGGAGGCTGAGGCAGAGAATTGCTTGAACCCAGGAGGCGGAGGTTGCAGTGAGCTGAAACTGTGCCACTGCATTCCAGCCTGGGCGATAGAGTGAGACTGTCTCAAAAAAAAAAAAAAAAAAGACATAATGATACTTTTTCTTCAAACACTCATTTTTTAGAGATGTATATAATCTTCTTTTTCTTTTAAGAGAGAGGGTGTTGCTCTGTTTCCTAGGCTAGAGTGCAGTGGCGTGATCATAGCTATCTGTAACCTCAAATTTCTGGGCTTAAGCATTCTTCCTGCCTCAGCCTCCTGAGTAGCTAGGACTACAGATATGCACTACCACACCAGGGTCTTGCTTTGTTGCGCAGGCTGGTCTTGAAGTCCTGGACTCAAGCTGTCCGCACATTTTGGCCTAGCAATGTATTGTCTTAAGATCACACCTATCTAAACTTTGTTTACATCCAACTTAAGTTACATTCTCATGATATAATTCCTTTAAATCTGAGGACTTTGTGTCAGGCGTTTGGACTCTTCAGTGCTGAATTACTAAAAGCTAGATGTGCAGGGTAGAAGTCAAGGTATTTGCTGATGGGAAAGAGGGAAGGAAGAAGAGACTAGTGAACTAGTGGTGAAATCTTACCATTTAGACACAGGAATCTGAGTCACCAATTGCTTTGCTAGTCATGGGCTGTTAAAATGCATGAATACTGCTGGGGAGGGGTATTGGTGGAGGCAGATCCTTGATCAACCAGGGGAATACTTTCAATAGACATTTTTTGTTTTGTTTTTTGAGACAGAGTCTTGGGCTGTCACCCTGGCTGGAGTACAATGGCGCAATCTTGGTTCACTGCAGCCTCCGCCTCCTGGGTTCAGGCGATTCTCGTGCCTCAGCCTTCCAAGTATCTGGGATTACAAGTGCTTGCCACCATGCCCGGTTAACATTTTGAATTTTTAGTATAGACGGGGTTTCACCATGTTGGTCAGGCTGGTCTCGAACTCCTGACCTCAAGTGATCCACCCACCTCGAAGTGCTGGGATGACAGACGTGAGCCATCACACCTGGCCTTCAATAGACATTTCTTTCCTTTTCTTTAATGTGTAGTGATTAATGTAGGAAGCAACTCTTATCAGGATTTGGCCTGCCACTCTGGCTATATTAGTAAACATTTTTGAAAATTTGATTTTTTTTTTTTTTTTTTT